CAGGTGGGGGACGGAGGGGCGACAAGCTCAGAGGGCAAGGTATGGAAGCACCTGCCTCAGCTCGGGCTCCCTGACAGAGCGCCACCGGCCGCACCGCACGGGCGCCCGCGATGGACATTGATTCTCACGGCTCAGCGCGCCGACCTGGCGAATTCCGGGAAGGTCCCCATTCCTGGTTTGCAGATGACTGCTCTTCACTATGTCAAGTGTCGGGGAGAGGGCTCCGGTGTCTTCCTCTTCTTATACGGGCACTGACCCCATCATGAGCACCCAGCTAACCGCACACACCTCCCAAGGCCCCAGGACCTCACACCATCCCTCTGGGGCTCTGATGGATGAATTTGGGGGGCCACGAACACACATCCGTTCCTGTCACGGCCCTTGCGCTGTGGGCTGGCAGGAAGTGGGAGGTAGGAGGTCAGGGCCGGGACACACACAGCAAACGGGTGGCCAGGTGGGCGGGCGGAGCGCTGCGCCCGGACGGGGGGACCAGGTGGGCGGGTCTCTGGTGCGGCTGCCACGGGGCTGAGTGGGGGCGGCCAGTGCACGGGCGGAGCCCAGAGGGCAACAGGCCCGGAGTGGGACTGACCCTCTGCATGGAGGCAGGGGACCCCCTGGGCTGAGGGCAGGATCGGGGGAGCAGGGGGAGGTGGTGAAGGGAGGGTGGGCGGGGAGCTGCTGTCCGGGGGGGGTGGGGGGAAGGGGGCACAAACCCACTTCGGGGCACCGAGGCCTGCAGGACAGCCATCGGAGAGGTCAGAGGGGTCCCGTGGAGTCTCCGTGGAGGAGGGCGTGGCCAGGAGCGCAGCGGAGGGGCATCAGGCTCCGGCCCATGGGTCCTGTGAGCAGAGGGGCCTCCCCAAGTGGCCCTGTTTGGTGCCAACCTCGGGGCCGCACCGGGGACACCCCCCTGCCTCGGAGCACAGAGGGGGCAGAAGCACACTCCCCATCACTTGCCTGCTGCCACCTCCCTTGGCAGCACCCTGGCTTCTCTGTCCTGCCAGCTCGGAGGGCGCTGCGGTGGCCACGGGCTCGGGGACGGCCCCAGAGGGCCAGAGCTGGGGACTCTGACCTTGTGACTCTGCTTTCAACTGCGGGCAGACAGAGCACGTCCAGCTTCCCGAGCATGAAAAAACTCGTAGACATATGTGAGATTTTGGAGCCTGCAAACGGTGTGACTGTTCTCCCAAAAGATGGTAACAGATGGCCACGGGCCCTCCCGTGCAGGCCAACAGCACGCCTGGCCCCCATCCATCCCGTCGAGCTCAGTGCTTCTCTCCCTCCTGCAGCCTCGTGTGCCCACACCATCCTGCCCTGAGAGCTCGCGTCCACCCACCCGTCCCCTCGGGGCTCCAACCGCGGTCCCCCTTGACCCCGGGAACATCGCTCAAGACGGCAGGTCTGCACGTCCAATGGCCTGTTGAGACGCGTTGGATGACCCCAGGCCACTGATGGGGTGAAGTCCAGGGCCATGGCCGTAGCCCAAGCGGGATCCTTTATGATCTTGGAGAGATGGGGACAGGAAGGGGGTAGGAGGGCAGGTGTTGGCCAGGCAGGAGGATGCCCGACCGGGCCCATTCTGCCCACACCCTCCAGATTACGTGGGGGAAAGAGCCTGCCACACTTCTCTGCTGG